AACATTATATTCTTGTATTCTTGTCAACAAACAATGGCACAATATTAATATTCCAACTTTATGGAGAAATCCATTTGTTGGAAACAGCATCAAAATATTAATTAATTGTTTATTGAAAGAAGAAGATAAGGATTTCTTGACTATAAATGGCATTGGATTAAATTTTGAACTATTGGAGAAACCACCATTATATAATTATGCTAGATTTTGTACTAGACTTGATGTTTTCAATTTTTATGTTGTTAATTTTGGATGGCTGATAAAAAAAATTAATAATAATATGCCAAACTGCGGACAAATTTTACAAAATAGATTAATAAAATTTATTTTAGATCATTCAGCAGGTATTAGAGAGCTTAATTCTAGATGTGTAGATCATAATTGGTTAATTAATCATCATAGATTTGATAATTTCTTTCAGAATCTTTATGAACTACATTGTGATAGCCTATTATGTGAAAAGGTTATTGCATGGCCGGGGTGAGTTAAGGTATAAATTATTATGTAGTTATTTAGTATCACACAAAGTTTCATCGGCATGATGGCCACACAAAGATGTTAACTTTGCATATGCACTGATAATATTTTTTAATGACGAAAATTATTATATTTCTGAAAAAAAACTAACGCATCATATTTTTTCATTAGTTTGATAATGCTTTTGAGGGGGTATGTAGCTTATACGATATGGGGGCGATAAAAACTGATAAAGAAAAACCGCTTACTTCAAATCAGATTAAAAATAATGTAAATGCCTTGAAGAGGAAACTTGGAAATGATACTTCCCCACTATATCTGCGTTTACATTCTGATGTTAATAAGATCTCTATCCGTGAATTAACTTGGAAGGACCCCTTGGCTAGCCAAGTTATTAGTGACGAGTCAAACATTGTACAACAATTACCTACGAATTTAAAAAAAGCATTTATGGTGTGTAAATATTTTTCACGTGAATCTGATTTTCCGTAAAGATATTATATTATGTGGTGTATTTTATTCATTTTAATGATTTTTATAGAAACCAGCTCGATTGATGAAACCTACGCTTATGCCAAGAGTTAAAGAAATTTGCAGAGAATTTGTATCAAATTTTTCTAGCCGTAATTATTTGAATAGATTTCCGGAAAAGTTGATTCATGATGGAACGTGGAAAGAACCCGAAGAAAAAATTGTGGGTGTTGTAAAGGAAATTTTTAACGCTCTGGAAGATATTTGGAACAATCCAGCTCTTGATCCTGAAGTATCTAAGTCATTAAATGAAGGAACTTACCAGTCTACAGTTATTGTACTAACCATTCGAGCAGTATTAAAAAATCTTCCTTTTAGTGTAGCTTCGTTTATCAGTACCTCGGAAAGACAGAGCATCGCCAGTGCAGATAGGAAAGGAGATGGGAAAATGGGAAGACGTCCAGATATCATGTTTGTGGAGAAATATTTGGACGTGTTCTTTGAACTTATGTACGCCGAATGCTCACGATTATTTTGTACTGAACAGAAAAAGATGGATGATAATGTTAAGCTATGGAGAGAGGTTAATGATGGGGTTTACTGGACCCGGAAAACTCTCAATCCGGATAAAGGTCAATTCGGGATAGTGGGAGTGCAAATAGCAGGAAATATATTACATTTGAACGTTCTTATCAGGGATAAGGTTAGTGTTAATAGATATTATCATATAGAATCGGCTGAAATACCCGTGCAACCATCGGATGAAAATATCGTAGCAAAATTTGTGGAAACTCTTTTACTTTTACGAAATATATTAATTGTAAATATATCCCTGCTACATCATGCGTCGATGAATACATCAGAAAGACAGAAAGAAAATAGTACAACTGTAGATTCTGAATAAACTTTGTACTTCGTTTATAATTTGTTTTTATTTTTTCTTGGATCTTATTTTTATATTTTTTTCTATCAATAAAGCTGGCCCTGGTGGCTCAATTTCATAATCTGTTCACTTTTGCATGTGTATTTCGGGATTTATTTTTTCGTGATGGTATATATATATATATTGATCGAGAATTTTTTAACGAACGTTTATTCTCTGAAATTTTTCTTGGTAAAGGCATAAATTAAACTTCGAATATCATTTTCATCTGTAATTGTGATCACATGAGGTTGCTCTCTTGGAGCTCTATGTCACATGTATAACCACTTTATATTTCTGTATCAATAATTTCTACACATATTGAGAATTCCCAAATCAATACTATTTATCTCTAGATATCTACATACCTCTTCATAGCAAACACCGCTTTCGTATCTTGAGAATTATGTGCATAAACTTATCTCGGCTTTGAAATTGCATATACTGCTTAGGATTGTCAATGAATCTATCTTGAATTTTGCGTCTGTTATTTTTAGATTTGCGAGACATATTAATATTAATATTTTACGTATTATATCAAAGTATGAGACACATTCTATTTTTTTCTTGAATTATCGACGATCTTACATTTTCCAGCAAAAAAATAAAACGTTTGAATCGACTGTTTTAAACCATGCGTAATACTTATTACTTCGCGAACACTTTGAGACTAGATATCTGTTTTTTCATACTACAGCAACGGATACAGCATATAAAGACAAGAAATACCGTCCCCAAAGCGAAATTAACCCAAATGATAATTCTTGAGCGATATGCAAGAACATATAAATCTGGATCGTACATTTGACAATCCTTGGCCACCCTTCACCTAATACCACCCATATTAACGGAAATACTCAAAGAATACTTGAGAATGTATTCAATGAAATAATCGAAAATCCCTCTTACAAAAAAAAATATGTACATGAGTAATTAATCAAATTTGGTTAATGCACAAATAAACATGCATGCATAATTTATATAGTCACACTACATATGTATTCCAGAATCAATATTCTTTTATGAAATCGTGCACAAACAAATATTATGTTTAAAAAATAAGAATTTGATGATTCATTTTATATGATTTAATGATTAATCAAGCGAAATATATTTCGATAAAATTACAAGAATAAAATAATTTTTTACGGTAGAGTTGCAAGGGAGAGAACGTACGGCCCCTAGACCATGAATATACGTCCCTATACTTTGGCTCTACCAGGTTGAAAACTATTTATTATTATTGTTATAATTTATTCCATCACCACTATCATCGTCTTCATTAATATTATTATTATCGTTAAATGTAGATTTATTTTTTCCTTTACTTTTGAATTCTATCCAAGATTTGATTGCTCCTATAGTTCTGGCGTCAGATTTCGTTGTTTGATTATAATAACTTTCCACCGCTTTGTTCGATATAACCTTTATTTTCTTCTCCTTTCTAAGATCACTTACAACTTCGGCAATCATATCGGCTTTAGAATAATCGTTTTCTCGCATGGTCTCATCGAAAAGGGTTTTAAATTTCTGAAAGAGTGGATCTGAAAACGAAGTACGTCTTGAACCTAATACGATACAAAAATATTAATTCACTATAAGTCCCTCAAAGTAACAGATATTTATTTATACATTGAAATAGCGGAGCCTTTAGTATAACTAAAGATCTTACCTCGAGAACTACTTGGAAAATTGCTTGAATTATTATTAGTTAAAGTATCTTCTTCCTGGAATCTTTGTTGGAACTCTTCATAAAACAAAGAAATTCTTTCGGTAAGATCATCTATCTTATTATAGATTTCGTTAGATTCGTTTTTTCGTTTCTCTTTTAATAATTTGAGTTCCATATCGATTTGTTGTTTGAAAATATAGAAAACGAAGCATATGATGACAATGAATAGGTATATAAATAGTTTTTCTCCAAATATCAATGTCACGACGAGGATCAAGATAGGAATTGAAATAAAATAACTTTCTAATGGCATTTTTTTGAAAGCTTCGAAAATTTCAGTTGGCGTCATCTAAAAAATAATATCAGTCAGTCTGGTGGTTCGTTTATAATACAACGGGATATACAAGTATCCTAACATACCTTTGATTTTGACGAATATAAGAATGATATTTTTTAATATAATTTATGTTTTGATTAATTTATGACGTTTTATTAACGTGATTTAGCAGATTTTTATTATATTTATTTGAATGTTATAGTTATGAAGTAGAAAAATTATACGAATTCGAGCTGTTTTTATATGCATTCCAGAGTTTCTCCAGCGCGGATGATCAATCTGCTGTGGGTACACATTATTAAAGTTATCAATAATCATTGGTTTTTTCGAATTAGAAGAAAATAATAATAATGTATAATATTTTACTAATAAAATTATTATATTTTTTACATAAATTTATCAGAGCATATCTTGAGAATGATCCAAACAAAAATCTACTTGATGGTGTGAATCATCCAAAAAATAAAATACTAAGACTTGATAATCAGATATTTTAACATTATGTTTTTACATGTTAATTTTAATAACATTCCCTAATTAATGAAATTCTGTGCATTCAATGAAATGAATTTTTAAAATTTTGCTTCATGTAGTAGCATGATGTTAACATTACACATATATTTAGAAAAGAAAAAAACAAATATTACTTAATCAATGATTTCCTGGTAAGTATATATATTTATAACAATTTTTTCCCCCACATTATAGATAATTCATTTATATTATTAACAATTTATTAAAAAAAAAAAACTATACGTGATTTAAAAACAAGACCAGATAGCCACTGGCAAACCTTCATGGTCTTGTAAAGAAAAATTAATATATATAATTTTTCTCGCAGGATCAGATAGCTAACTTGGCAAACTTCATGAATTGCATCTCATGTCAATCATAATAAACGATGTAATGTCACTAATAATTTTGATCACCCACTTATTATAATAATTTATTTGAAAAAAAACAAAAAATTGATCCATTTTCTGATTACACATATATAAAATTTTAATACCAATTCTTATTCGGTTTGTTCGTTTTATTATTCAGCTTATTCGGTTTATTCGAATTATTCGGTTTATTCGGTTTATTCGGTTTATTCGGTTTATTCGGTTTATCCGAATTATTCAGTTTATTCGGTTTATTCGGTTTATTCGGTTTATTCGGTTTATTCGGTTTATCCGAATTATTCAGTTTATTCAGTTTATTCGGTTTACTCGGTTTATTCGGTTTACTCGGTTTATTCGGTTTATCCGAATTATTCGGTTTATTCGGTTTATTCGGTTTATTCTAATTATTCGTTATTCGGTTTATTCATTTTATTCGAATTATTTGAATAATTCGTTTTATAAAATATAAAATATTAATTCATGACTTGATGCAACAAATTGTTATTGTTAAGGGATTTTAACTAAGGTAACTATTTTTACAGGTGAATTAAATTATTGATAATAAATAAATATTTCTGCCTCTACTTATTAGCAAGGTTCTGAAATATTAATTAATTAGCCAAATGTTTTTTCACTTAGTCAAGAGTGACTTATTTTTGTAATGATTTTTTAGGTCAATCATATAATACGTCCTATCAGAAAGTTCGGCCAATCTTATGCTTCCTTGTGACCTGACCGCTTTTTGTCCTTACAATATCAATCAATGTGTTTTTTTATATTTAAAGAACATCATCTTAGGATAATTAAATAAATAACATGATTTATGTTAAGCAAAATATTCATGGAGACAATATCTTTCATTAAAAATGATTTTTTGTTATGGTTTAGTACTCTTACTTAGTACTTTATAAAGTGTAAAAAGCATGTTTTATTTTTTAAGTTTAAAATATAAAATTGATGGATTCCATAATTAATTCTTCTACAATGAATAATTTCGTCGTCACGCATAATAATTATGTGTTAAAATAAATGAATTTTTGATCTCGCGTAGCATGGTATGCATGATTGTGTATAAGTAAAAGTCAAAATCGTTCTCAGTTAATTATTATTGTATTTTATTATTTTTTTTTTAAAAAATGGCAAATTACGAAAAAATCGAATTAAATAAAGTAAATAATAGATTAGATGATGCAGTAAAGGAGTTGAAGGAATGGAAAAAGGAGTGGGAAAAGAAGTTATACGATTTGGAGGATGGGTTAATGGAGGGGAAATGGAGTGGAGATGAGAAGACGAAGAGGGAAATACGAAGAGATAAATTAGAAAAAGAAAAAGAGAGGTTGGGGAAGAAGGTGGATGGTTGGGAGGAGTTGTTACAAAATGAACTTGTTAAATTTAATAAAAAAGGTAAAAAAAAAAAAAAAAATTATTTTTCGTTCATTCATTTCGTTTATTTATTTATTTGTTGAGTATGTTGCATACAATTTAACTAAACTATGTTTTGTTTTTTTTCTCTTCCTTTATACTGTATTACAACTTTAACTAACTTATGCTTTTTTTCTTCAATACTTTGAACTTAATTTTTTTTCTTCTATTATCTATTAATTATTATTCATTTTGGAATTACCCTTTTTTTTAGTTGGTGTAGGTAAGTATCATTATTGCTTTTATATGAACTTAGGTTTTAAGGTTCCATTTAATATATTAATTATTTCTGTAACATGTTGATTAATTGTTCTTTCATCTGATCAATAATAATACTATTTTTTTTTCTTTTGTTAATCTAATCTTTGGTTCTTTCTTTTTTAAGATGTAAAATCAAAAATCAAAAAATTCTGGAAGGATCACTTTAATGTTTGGGATAAATTTTTGAAGGAAGAATATAATTTGACTCTCTTTAATGTTGGAAAGGAACATCCTTATTCAGAATACGTTAACAATCTCAAAATTCCAGTACAACCCAACAATGGTGATAAATCACCTTCTTTCCTTTTACACAACTTACCAGAAGCTAATAATGAAGGGATAATAAATGGTGGTTATGTTAACAAAAATTATATGAATAAGTTAAAGGAAAAGGCTATAAGTCAGAAATGGTTTATTATGCTTGGAACCTCTGGGTAAGATTTTTTGTATGTGTAATTATATGTATAATTACAAATACCATTCTGTGATGCTAATGATTTTGAGAAAAATTGTGTAGAGGTGGAAAGACTCATAATTTATTTGAATTGCTATGTCAAGTGTATGGTATCTATTTTACAATGCTTGCAGGTCATGACAACCCTGGATCCAAAGACTTGAATGTGGCTATCCATGAAATGGGTCATGAATTTCAGAAAGATGATCCAAGGGCAAATACTGATATGGCTCTTAAGTATATTCATTGTGCATTGGCAGCTCATTTGTTTATTTTGTCAAAACTTCTTAAAAAAGCTAAAGCTCAAGGAGAGTTTTTAGAGCCAAGAAAGTGGTTGTTATTACAGATTTTACCCTCTAATATTGACATAGGACATGATGATTTTTGGGTAGAGCTTTCAAAAGTATTTCAAGATTATACAAATAATGAAATTGAAAATTTTATAAAAAATAAACTTCAAAAAATAGAAAAATTAACTAACAGCATTAATAATCAAAAACGAATGCCAGTTATATTTGATGAAACTCAAAATGCTATTGAAGTATACAAAGATAAGTTTCATTCATCAGATCATAACACTAGAAGACCATTGTATACAATTTTACTTCGTTCAATTGAATGGCTTTATATGAATAATGTTAGTGTCATCATGTCTGGGACAGGATTAAAAGTGGAAGCCATTGAGAAGAGTTCAGGTAGCTTTGTTGCTAAATCAGGTGGACTTCTCATTACTGATGATTTTTTTGGTGTTATTGGTGGATTTAAGAATATAAATGAAATGCATGGCTTTATCCAAAATTTCTTACCCTTATCAAAAGAACAATTGGAAAAAATTTTTATCATTATACAAGGCCGATATCATTTTACTATTAAGTTTCTGGAAGTTATATTCAAAAATGAAGAACATTGCACAATTGATGATGGAATAGAAAGATGGTTACACTTAACAAAACAATATATTATAACATCTTTAGAAAAAACAATTGAAAAATTAAGTCATAATATAGATATATGGGAAACTGTAAATAATATGGTGATTAGCTATTATTACTATGGTCATCCTGTTATTTTAAAAAAGGATTCATTGAAGATCATTGAAGTTGGATTTGGAGAGTTAGAAAGCATTCAACTGGATACAGAGCAAGAAGGAATAACAGCATTTGTACAACTATCAGATCCACTATGTGTTATGGCATTCATTAAATATATGGAATCAAAAGATGAATATTATAATCCATTGTTAAAAGAAATGTGTCATAATTTCCAATTTCCATCACACTGTGGTCAACTTTTTGAAATATTTTTAATAACACCACTTACACGAATGTTCAATGAAAGCATTTTATCAAATAATAATATTGTTAAAAAGGACATTGGCATTGATCAATGTCCAGAAATTTTTTCCTATCCTATAACAATTGTTAGACCAGACCATAAAATAATTATTTGTGAACAAAGTGATGAAAATTTTGGTCTGGATCAATTTCTTGAATCTCCAAATTCCACATTCTTTGTTCCAGAAGACACAGCTGGTCCAGATTTGGTTTTTATAGTTCAATTTAAAGGTCCTGATGAAAATTATATAGATGTACCAGTTTTTGTTCAAGCAAAACTATCAGTGAATATAAAACCAGTAAAAGCAATTAGAACAACAGATTCTAGTGCATTTTATGCATACCAAAAGAAAGAAAATGAATTAGGTGATGATGAACCAAATTTCACAAATGAGCCACTTGTAAACCAAGAAAAAAGAAAGAAAATTATTGAAATTATTGGTAAAAAGTTTAAGAAAACAAGAAACAATGGTATCTTTTGGATTCGAATCTTGGTTGCATATCCAGCAAAAGTTCAACAAAAAAGCTACTGGAGAAGTATTGATAATAAACGTACAGGTACCCATATTTCAGAATTAATGATCACAATTGATAATGATGAAGCAAAACATTTTTTCAAGCAAGAAGAATTGAATATCTTGAATGCTTTAAAGAAACGTAAAGCTGAATATATCACATTTAAAGAGAAAATGGTATGATGTTAATAGTTTTATCTTCTTTTCAATAAATAATTAATATTTAATCATGTTTTTTATTTAGTACCCAAATAAAAAAGCAAACCAAACAATCCAATCATTCATGAATTTAATTCTTTGGATCTTTTCAAAAGCTTTATCATTGAAATGAAATTTTTCTTTATGAACCTTTATTCATTACCATATATTTTCAAATGTAATTAACTTTTGACATCTTTGACATCAGAAAACTATTCATTGTCATCACCAAGAAGAAAAAAAAATGTGATGAAGGGTTTCCTAAATGTAAAAATTGAATTGAGTTATAGTATGAATCCTCAAAAATTCAATATAATGTATTATGTGAGTCAGTCAATTGACCCATCATACTTTAAATTTGCATTCATTATCAGTTATAATTTGTTTATTATTATTATGAATACCCATAATTGGTTTCAAATTTATATTTTGTATTTTAAAAAAATGTTTTTCTACAATGTGTATTTATTTTTTTGTCCCTTTAACAATCAACAATTTGATGAAATATATACTTTAGTAATGGTGGATCTTGAAATGTTATTGGTCAATTTAACAATCAGCAAAGCTAATACTATTAAAAATAATTTTACAAAAATGATAACAATGACTGAATTTTTTTATAGATCCAAAAAATCATAAAGATAAACTAAATGAAGAATGCCAAAAAAAGACAAACTATTTACAAAAGAGGATAGAATTCCTGTAGAGATTTGTAGATTATTGTAAAAAAAAAATTTATAACTACACAAATTGTGAGAGAAATTTAAAGTCAAAATCAACTAATTGTATCAAAAATATATAATTTGGACCAATAAAAATGATAAAGACAATATATATTATGATTTTTTGCCAATTGAGAACAACATTAAATAATGGTGGTGAGGACTAAGTATTTATATATATCATTAATTATTTTTGAGAATGAATTATTTTAATATATTGAAGTTAAATTTATTATTTATAATGAAAAAACTTTATACTTTAGTAACAATGAATGATAAATTTGCATATTTCAAAATTAAGACATGTAATCTTCTGTTTTTTTTCTTTATTTCATTAACCTAAAATAAAAACCAAAATAAAAAAGTTTTATTATTATCTGATAAAATTTATGTGTCAAAAGTCTACAAAGTGAACATAAAATTATATATATAGGGATAAATGTATATGAAAAGCAATAATAGAAGTAACAATTATAATGGTTCTAATGAATATGAAAAAGCAATTGATTTTTTGAAAAGGGTTGTGATTGTAGTTGCTCTTCAAGAATTCCCAGGGAACAATTTGCAGAATTAAGAGAATCCTTTCAAGCTCTTTCCAAGTCTGAACAAGACATATTTTTAATGGCTCAACTTAAAGCAATGGATGGTGGATCAATAGGCACTAGCAGATGCCTTAAGAAGAAAACCAGATCTAATAAAAGAACTTTCTATCATTGGGATCACAATACACCCCTTTGTCAAGAAACTTATCTCAATATGTTAGGAGTTGGTAGAACTTATTCTGAAAATATCAGAAATCATCTAATAAACCATGGTCTTCTAGCAAGAGTCCATGGTAATATTAAAAGAATGCCTCAATGGAAAACTAAAATGATGATTGATAAAAATGTCACTGAAGTAGTAAAGAATTTTCTAGTAAATTATGCAGAAGTTCATGGATTACCAAGTCCATCAGGAAAATGGGTACAAATATTATGTGTATATAATACACAATTGCAGGGATTAAGCATATAATATGCATACAAA